ATGTTTTGTAATGAATTATCTTTTATATGATTAAGTACTGCAATTGTTTAAGTACTGAATACCGCATCATTTGCCTAAAGCGTTTAACATGTTGAGTGATAAATATAAATATTTGAAATATTAACCGAATTTCGATGTTCTACATATTGGCATACATTATTCATGTATCGTACGAGTACATTTTTACCATTATCAAAGGTTTTAATTAGCCAACATTTTAGTTAAACCAATTACTAATTTTGATTAATTCTGTTTTCCTTTCGTCTATAAAATTAAAATAAGACTTTAGCAACGTGTTTACATACAATAATCGACACTCAACATATTAAAATCAAGAGCACAGATTTTATATGCATTCGATTTGACATGATTCATCATCTCGACAGCTCTGATAGTGACACATTCCCATCTTTTAATATAAAATACATACATTTTGTATTAGACGGAGAAACGCGGTGGACGAACAAATTAAAAAGAAAAGAACAAAAATTTAATTTTTAGGCTCGTATTCAGAACGCGCTTACGATGTTAGCGCGCTAACATACTATACTTTATGTTATGCAGATTATGGAATTTTAGAGATAAAAGCGCGCTTTTATCGATAAAAACGCGTTCTGAATACGGGCCATAGTATATAAGAAAACAAAAATAAAGAAGCATGACAGATTGTTAACGATGCAAATACCGTATACTCAACAGTATAACATTAATCTTACAAAGTAATAACTCAAACATTTAAAAACAAAAACATATTCTACCAACAGATGTAAATTACACGCATAATTGTAAAAATCGAATAATAATAATTCGGATAGACGGTTGTATCACTGAAATGTTGGTCGAATAGGATCACTGAATTGGTCGGCTTGTATGCAAAAGAAAAAGAGAAAAGAAAACTTGTATTATTAACGCGATACGAAATTAGTTAAGTATTATTTATAATATTCACATAAAATAAGATATGAAGAATAATAATAATTGTTATAAAATAGTTAAGAATAGAGAATGATACACTGAAAAAAAAGATTGGCTGCTGCAGCAAATTAGATGGTAAAATATGGCATAGCATTTTTAATTGGCTACAACTGCCAATTTTTGGTTGTGTTAGCTTATCCGCAATGACAGTATAGGATTTCGATTAGCTAACGCAACCAAAAATTGACTGTTGCAGTCAATTAAAAATGCTATGCCATATTTTACCATCTAATTTGCTGCAGCAGCCAACCTTTTCTTTCAGTGTATTAATAATACAAAAATATCTATCTATTCATTCGCATTTTTTAAGATACAAAAATCTTTGTGTTTATATCTCTTATACAAAAAAAGTTATAACATTTTATAAGCTTTGTCATTGAAATTTGCAACTATTTTGACAAACGTGAAAAATATTTCGGACGTTTTTGCATTTTGCCAAGCAATTAGTATTCAATTAGGTAAATAGCATAATAATGTAACAACTATAAGACACGAAAATAAATCATTCGTTATAAGTACATTATTCCGTACTGTTATAATAGAAACTTTGTTTATGGAAATAATTATCTTAAATAAGTGATCCTTATTTGACCACATTCAATAATCGCACAGATATACGATTCGTTTTTACAGTACATAATTCTTTATATATTAGCGTCCTGTAAAAACGGACATAAAAGTATTTAAGCGATTCTGACTCTGACCTAAACTGATAGTCTGCCATTGTTGCACTAAATTTGCGAACGATCAATATTAGCAATAATAACAATAAGATGGTAATCGCGATTGCTGTCGCGCACAAAGTGCTAGTAATAATATATATAAAAGTAATACAAGTAAGTCATAATAATAATAATAAATGCCAATGGTAATATCGCCATCATTGGCAGGAGTACTAATAATTTTATAAACATATAATACTAGTAATAAAATAATAATGACCATACAGTAATAATAGAATAATAGCAATAATAAGAATTCTTATAATAATAATCAAATTAGAATAACAGATATAACTAATAAAGATAAACATAGCAATAATAATAGCCATAATAAACGTAGTACTAACAACAGTGTCAACGCACGTGCTGAAGAACAATGATGAAAATGATACGAATATAGAAGCATCTTTCAATCATTAAACGATATTTGTGACTAGGCTCTATTTGTATATACGCACAAGACTAATGTGTACGCGTGCTCATTTCCTATTGTTAGTTAATCGATTATCGATTAGTGTTAACCGTCTACGCTATAGTTTAAATATTAAATATCAAACTATTTCTCTTTTTATAAAATTTATAATATTTTACATATAATTTTGAAATGCTTATACAGCACAAATATCTAAGGGACATTCTAAAGATCTCTAAAAGATGCTTTACATCCTAAGAATGTTCCTAGGACATCTCTCGGATGAAGTGTGCTGTATATTTGTTACTTATATGTATAGCAATCATTTGTACGCATATCAAAAAGCTATTTTGAAGCTTTATATAGTTTTTGCCGATTGATTTATATACTGTCTTTGAATAGTTTGGAATTTATGATTTATAGTTTCAAAATATTTGTTAAAATTTATACTTAAATCAATTTAAAAGATAACAAAATAATTTTTTTCATTTGTAGCATTTTCATATATATTAATAAAATATATAATTGAATGTTTTATATTTTTTACACATAATTCGATAATAAACTTAATAACTTGAATTTAATCATTCATCACATATGAAGCAATATTACAGATATTCTATACGTAAATAGTTTTTATTCAAGCGTAGACATTCAACACTCGCTTGGGTTAGTCATTAGCATTGTGTAAGTACATCAATTAATTAAAGACACATCTTTGGTAATCTGTAACGGAGCACGTTGTCCACTACTCAAAAATAATAGCAAATGTTAAATAAAATTGTCCATTTGCATACGATTTACCTGTAATGACGCCAATGCTCCGTTTATTTGGTCTGACGTATGTGTGCATATTAATGTTGTTGATGACAAAACAAGACTATGTACGCTTAATCGTAAATGACAAGTAATTATAATGCGGAATAACAAAAATTATCCTATTTTCAAGGATATCTCAAAAAATTGTATGTAAATCCATCTTTTATATATATATATATATATATAATGTAAACGATAAATGAGCTATGCGATGACACTCATTATTCTAGCTATAAAATATTTCAAAAAAAAATATAGTAATGCAATATACAACCATTATTTTCAACAGATAACGAACATAGTTACTGTCATTTAATAATTTAGTGCACGTAAACTTGTTTTGCTCAATATAGACAAGACTATGCGAGAAAAAACAAATCAAGGGATATGTATTTTGTCGAAGTGAAAGTGTGGATGCAACTATAAAAGATGACACGACAATAGTAAGAGGAAGTTGCATAAGATTGTAGATAACATAGCGGGTCGCTTGGATAATATAACGGGCAAACTCTAAAAAAATACGATTTTTTATGATATTGGAATCGTGAAAAATAGAAAATATATTGAAATAAAAATATTTTCAATACTCGCATATTTAATTTGTAAAAAATAAAAGTTTAACAGACATATCTAAAAAGATGAAAACTTAAAAGTCTGAAAGATAAAGATTTTATAGATGTTTTCAGGTAGTTTCTAAATTTCTTTCTCTCTCTTTTGTTTCAAATGTGTCTCCTATAAAATAATTAAATATTTAGTATTTTATGAATCATTTTGATATTTCTGAATATTAATCAATCAGGACTCACTCCAGGATTAAATAAATTTTTTATAACTTAATATTATTCAAAATTGATTAAAAAACTGTTTCAAAGAATCAAAATACTAATTGAATACAAATTTTGTTTATTTATATTTTGATCATAATATATAAAATCCAAATAAACAAAAAAATAATACTTTCAAAAAGAATGAATTATATATGAGAGAAGAAATTTTAACTCAGATTTTACAAAATATTAATTCTTAATATGTGAAGTAATTCAATTACACATGATCGATTTAAAAATGTCTGACATTTCCATGTTAAATTAATTTTTTTTTATAATCATCAATCCCGTATATATATCCTTGCATGATCTTGATTTAATTCATTCGAATACAATCATCGCACAGTTTCGTCATGAAACCAATTTTCGTAATGTTCGTTCAACTAAAAATAATTATATTTGATTTATCACATTGAAAATATTCCATTCTAAATTTATATCTTATCTGCACTTAAAAGCAAGCTGTATAAATCTATTTTAATCAAAGTCAATTGCACTAATTGCAGCATAAATATACGTTTGCCTTCTCTCGATAAGTTATAATAAGAATTGTGATCATCGTTTTAGAAATAATGCAAAAATAAATCTTACATAGAATTATGTTTGTTTGTTAATATTTTTAATTATCCAAAATTAATAAATCGGTTCATGATCGATAGAATTTCAAAAATCAAAATGTATTTCCATTTACTTCCAAGAAGCAAATTCATATTCAATGTCAAGAATGAATTATCTTAAAATATCTTGCGTGATGCACTTATTCGAGTGCGTCTCTTCCTTCTGATTGCGAAATTATTTCGCAATTATTATAGTAATCCATTTTGTCCTTCCGTATTCAGTTATCACTTGATAAGAGACTTTTAATTCATTGAATCAATGCAGACAACTCGTCCGATCGATCTCGTATCTAATTTTTCCTAAGATTAATCGCACAAAGTGCAATTTATTATTTCGACGAAGAAGACGATGCAAGCGTACGGTCGGGAAACTCGTCCGATATTAAAATTCATTAAAAGTTTGTCGCATCTTCTGTACTTGACTATATTCGTGAAGTGTCTTGATAACGATATAGAATAATTGAATGCACAAATGTGTGACGCCTGATGTGTTTATTCCTGAGCGATCCGGCCCAGTTTCAGTTTGAGACCACGGTCCCCTATACGATACAATCTTATCACAAAGTCATTACTACAAAATGTCTCTTATATTCGTTTCTTCGCTATCTATCGGTTTTTTTGTGTTTAATTCTTTGTATCCGTTTCGTTTTTGGTATATTTGCACGATTTAAACCTAAGAAGTCGCACGCGCGTCGGTCCCGCACGATCATTGTTCGTCCTTTCGCGTTTCCCTTTCCGCCTCCATCTCTCGTGCTTCTTCATACATACATTTATCTCGTTTACACGCCCAATTTGCCGCGATACATACGCACATATGCATATGCATATTTATGTATAAACAGGCGCTGCGAGGCGTTGACAGCGATCCCGATAGTAGAGCCGATAAAAATAGTTCTCAGTCGATAATTCGATTTATGAACATGTATGTATAACTATGTATATGTATAGTTATGTATAAGAAAAATTTCTCGCACACAGCTCATTCGCCACACATTCCTCGCTTGTCCTTTTGTCCTCTTTCACCGTGAAACGTAGAGCGTCACCTATCGTTAATTAACTATAAGAATCCTCATTACGCTCTCAAACGCACGCACATACCATACACACGTACACATATATGTGTATGTACATATATGCATGATATATTTATATATCTGTATATACATAGGGAGGAGGGGAGATTGGACAGACAGTTAACATAGCGCGTTAGCTTCGTTCGAGGAACCCTGGTCGGTCGTCGGTGCATCGTCCTCTTTTCTGTTCCACTTTCTCAGCCTTCTTCATCGCGCTCCTCCACATTTCATGTGCACTTTCTTGGCCACAACTTTCGTTTGCCCAGTTCTTCTGAGTGTCCGAGATTTCGTCCAGTGTTTTACATGCGCAGCTGCGATCGGGAGGACGAGCAACCGCTCGGTGCGATCGCGAAGTATGAATGATGTCGCGACTTCGTGGATAGGCGGTACGGGCGCAAAAGAGGTTGAGGAGATGAGATGAAAAGATAGAGAAGAGGTCAACAAGGCGGAGGATCTCACGGCAGAAGTGAGAGCGCGTGGGCGGGTGTTGTTCTTTGTACAGGCACCGACAGACACAGATAGACTGATCGAGAGACTGACCGGGGAATCGTGACTGATCGATCGACCGGTCGAGCGAACGACCGATACTGATTTGACTGACTGAGACTGACATGGCACGGCGACTCCGATCGAGAGTACACGGTCACAACGTCACAGGCCACCTGCTGGCACACAAACAAACACACGGACATGTTAGTCACCACCACACACCAGATATGAAGATTCATCCCTGGGCAAACGCGCGCGGTGGCGGTTTTTCCGAGATCCCGCGAAGACCTACTATGCCCAATTGTCTTTGCAGACTTGCACTTTAGGATAACAACGAATTTTTAATTCGTTTGGTTGTTATTATCTAGCACAAAACGAACATGTAGCACGATATGATCAGTTCCTTAAAAAAGAGGATTTAACGGATTAAATATGTTATCAGAAGCTAAAGTTATAATTTTATTATTTTCTACGAATAAAAGGATTTTGAAGTATTGCTTTATTGCGTTATAATAACACTTCGACAAAATATTTCATAAGCATGTCTGATAAGAGAATTGCACATAGGAACAGAACGACGAACAGAAATCAGAATACATTAAAAAGTATATACATTCAAACGAATTATTTGCGGGATCTCCAAACCGATGACACCGTGCATCGTGTACACAGGTACTTTACCGAGTCGTCCTTTTAAAACACGAGCAACGAGCGTCCACTTTAATTCAGCTTGACAGACAGTCACAAGGAAAAAGAAACAAAGTGTTCGACAGCGCATTTGTGAAAACTCGTTGCTAATGCAATTAGTGAAATTCGCCAATGGTTTCCAGATTTAGATTACAGAGAATAATTGTAACAGTCATACAAATTACGCATAGTATTTTTTTATAGCAGTTTTATATTTGAAAGTTGTTTGGTATCAATTGTACTAAACCCAAATCATGATGAATATAAAAATAATAATGAGTAGAATGTTTTTATTGAACATAAATAACACTTTTTTACTTTCATGGAAACGATTGACTTGTCCACCGCCTACGACGATTCGGTTGCATATATTCCTCCCCCCTCCCCCCAAAAATCACATGGCAATGTTAGTATTACTAACTAATAAAGCATCGTAGCGTGATTAACGATAGAAAACTTAGTGATATTATTATCACGTGAGAACGTATCGAATTCTGTGCGTCTTGAACAATAAACGAAGGAGATACACGCGGTATAATAGCTGCTGACATAATTACAATGAGTGAGATATACAGTTCTTTGTGTTTATCGCTCGTATTTGCTCAATTAGCTGGTTCATTTACCAGCTCAAACTACTGTGGTTATTGATATAAAGAACAAGATAAAGAAATTAAAAAATAGAAAGAGATAAATTACAAAAAAATTACAGAAAGAAAAAACAGAAAGAAAAGTCAAATCGTCAAATGGTTACGAGGTACGGACTCGAACGCTGCATGAAAATTCAAAGCGAACTAGTCTTACCCTCCTAGGGGAAAAGCTACGTTGTTAGTGAACTTCACGTACGTAATTTCACTTTGTGCAACAGTAAGTTAGCACAGAAAGCTTTACTGGCAGCCTTTGCAACGAAATGTAGTTTGATTACATCATCTAGAAACGTGCCGCCAGGCTTGCACCTTCGAGATTCGAAGAGAACGAACATATTTTCGAGACCGTGCGATAAGTATAGGCAGATATTACGGGTGAATATTTGAAAGACTCGTATTATATCATTGCGAATTTAGCGTATAAACGTGGCTATTCGATTTCCTGTGTGCTCATATTATGTATGTTCTTCGTACTAACTAGATGAACCGAATTCAAAAGTGAATGAGCACGTTTAACGCTAAATGCGCGACGCTAAGGCCATTCCTAGGACAAGATTTTAACCCGACATGAACTTTAACCCGTAAATCGAGTTAAATTTAAACTCGAGAGATCTTTATACGTCTCGGTATAAACGGAGAAATGTCTAGAGCCGTTTATTTTAAAAGCTGAATACCGATTGTATATTTTGTGACGGCAAAAGTCGAATTAAGAGATTCAAAATGAATAGATATTTCACAATCACATTATGAAGCTTTTACATGCAAATTTCTTTATCTTTTATGAAAGCGCAATAAAGTATTCGCATATTTCTTGCATGCAAAATCCCTTTTTTAACGAGAATATAAATAATACTTAACATATATATCAACATTTTTTGTAATTTAATGCGCAAAGGCGCTTTTAACATAAAAAACAGTTAATTCATAAAAGAATTGGTTGCAAATGTTTACTATTAATCTTGATTAATTATATCTCGTCAGATTCACTAAATCTGAATGAGGTCTAGAAATACCGGTCATAGTCTCTGAAATCGATCATCATTGGCTACGAAATCAAATGGTCCGACATAATAATGATACTAATACTAATTCGTTAATCCTATTCCGTCTCCTGTTAAAATTATTGAAATGGATTATCAAAAAAGCAGTATATCTATGTATATTTAACTCGGCACTGGAAGAGTTAACAGATGATATACGATTGCAACGTGGCACGGACGTGAACGGAATAGATAGATTGTTGGATTAAAAATGTACTGAAAGTGTTCACACATGGGCGGACCGGCAGGTAGAAGAGAGAAGACAATTCGGCGGGACAGTTCGCACAAGCGACACGTTAAAAGAATAAATTACGTTCCTGCACCTCGGAAGAAAAGTCAGTCCGATGGAGACAAGAGAGTCTTCTGGATTATCACAGCCTCGTTTCGATAGGACGGCGAAGGTGTCGAGCGGCGACGTCTCCTCTTCGGCGTCCGAGAACGCTCGATTGTAGCCCGTTAACTCGCTACCTTCGTGGAAAATACTGCTTGACTAGAGAGTATTGTGGAATATAGCCACCTAATACTTTCGCTTGTCTACCTAGACCTATCGCTAGACGCGATTCCGCTGCGGAATAATCAACCATCGCGGTTGTTAATTAAATGCGCGAGCGTCGTCCAGACTAAGGACGTCGTCGAGCCAAGGTGTCCGAGAGTCCTTGGTATCTACCTACGAACGTTCTGTGACGTCAGCTAGTACGGCTTGGAGGCATCCTTGGATCGTTTCAACTGGACCTTCAGTCGCTTCATGCCAATCTGGAAACCGTGCATCGTTTGGATCGCCGCTTGCGCGCTCGACACATTGTCATACGATACGAAACCTAAAACAATAATGTAAAATATATGGATTCATCTCTATTATGTCGTATCACTCGTATTTATCATAAAATTTATCTGTATATTCAAACATTCTTTTGTTATTTAATGTTAATTCAACTTACCAAAGCATTTACTCATGTGCGTGTGCTTATCTATGAAAACTTTGGCGGATATGACATTGCCAAAGGGTAAAAAGGTAGAAATGAGGTCTGTATCGCTGAATTCTTGCGGTAGGTGGTATATAAAGAGATTGCAACCTTCGGGACCCTCGATTTGTTTGTCCGTGCTGGTGAACTTGGTCTTCCGCCGTGAACGCGGGGAACCCTGAAATCCGAATATGTTGGTGATGTTCTCGCTATATCATCGCGGGGAATACAATCCCAGTCGCATATTTTTTGAAGTGATATAAATCGTACGTTAAAAACCTAGCTAAAAGCAATGTATATTTTTAAATAAATAATTTTAAATTTAATCAGATCTTAATTCTACTAGCTGTTTTTCGAAACTTGATTTATATCACTTCATGATGAACAGTTCTTGTTCAATACAATTCTATACATTGGCTTGGCACGTCCCAGCTTACAGAGACACACCAAACAGACTCTGATTTGAATTTATCTGATTACTTTAGTCTACTCTGAATATAATGGGTAAATAAGCACGTTATACGATAAATAAAATGAGAAATTAAATATTCAATGATTTATAAAATATATACAGTATTATATACATATATACTATATATATATATAATATATAAGATATATATATATAAGATGCAACGCGATTTTGTAAGCTCTCCAATTTGCAACCGTGGTATTATAACGCACACATTTTCACTTGTTCAATTCTCACGAGTGTATCTTGTGCGCTGGGATACGTGGATATTCTAATAGGCACATGCAAACCTATCAGTTGTTTTTCTTTCAAGCATTCATTTGGTTCACTTCCATATTCCGATACTTTCAACACCTAATTTGCTTTAATCGCAAATTAATTGGTCAGTTTTAAAATCTCGCATATCCGTATTGATTTTATATAATGTTCGATAGGAAAGATATAAAATTATATAATCCGAGCTGACGCTAAATGTGCAGATATTAAATGTGCGAAAATTAATATTAAACGCAAAAAGCTTCTATTTTTTATTTTAAAAAATAATTATTACCTCAATATCTCTTTCTCTTTCTCTCTCTCAAATATTTTCTCAAATTTTAATAATCGTATTTCGTAACGTTAATCAGATTGTCTTGAATATATTGTATGATAGTTTCGTATCGTGATACACGAACACATTAATGCGAAAGTCAACCATATGAACTATTTGATACTAAAACTTGGGACAATCCACAGAAATATATATTCAGGCAATCTATATACTTATTACTCACTATGCAACTCTTTCTTTTCCACGGTCACCGTCGTCTTTCCAATGAGAGCTTTAATGCGCACAGTTTACTTATTAGAAAGTAACCTAACCCTTTGCGTGTTCACACGGATGCAGAAAAGCAGTGTGTGGACTGCGCTTAACGATTTTCTGTGTACATCGAATATTGCTTGACAAGCCAAATAATTACCTGCATACTGTTGTAAACTGGAATAGGCGTTGCTCAGCGAATCCTGAAGTCCGTTTAACGGCGTTCCCGTCAAGGAATTGAGCGTGAGAGATGTTACAGGACTGAGACTGCCCCCGGTAGACCCTTAAAGACGAATACATATTATTTTTTATCAATTCTCAAATATAAATTTCGATACGCAAGTCTAATTATTTCTAAGGCATTTCTCACGTGCTGCGACATCGCAAGAACGTCAGTCGCTCCGAGTTTGTTATTATTATTAAAGGCAGAAAGCAACGTACTTGTGCAATATATTGTAGTATATTAATTTTATCAAATATTATTATTCCGGTATTTGTATGAAAAAATTTATTTAAAAAAGAAACAAGATCAATTTTATTCAAAGGTATACTTCTTATGATAATCTTTCTCCCTGTCTATTATATCAATAATTCAAAACATTGAATTTACAGTTAAAAATAAAAAATTTTAATTATAATCAATTATATTTAAAATTAATATAATAATGAAACTTGTAATAACAATTTATCATACTTTTATTTGAGTCTTAATTAATTAAATTGTTTAAATAGTGAATAAATGTTCATATTTTTAAAGTTATTTTTAAAAACAAAAAATATACAAAAAGATTTATATAAATAGTGTCCGCAAAATCGGTGGACTTTTATCTTTTCTTTGATCCTGCTATTTTAAAACTGAATTATGTGTTAAATATCTCATGATGAGACATCAATCACAAAAAAAATTTCAAGTTGAGACTAGAATTGGTTTAAAAGATATGATTGAGTGGTCAAAGTTCATTAAAGCACGCATACTTTGAAACACGAATTTTTATGTCAGTTCTATATCTCTTAAACCAATTTGCAGTATCATACTTCTTCGATATAGAGATAAAAATTCTCTACGTAACAAGATATTAATGATTTAAATATAATTTAGGAGTATAATACACCTTCATGCACGATAATATATCTATAAAAAATCACGCGCCACTATACCCGGGTTAATTGCGATAAGCGTTTTATGAAAAAAGTCCTGCTCTTCTTTTTCATTATGCACAGGTATTGTTACCGATTAAATTCTTATTATGGAAAATCGTGCATCCATTAATAATGCAATAAGCGTTTGTGCAAGAATCGTATATTCCCAATACATTTCAAATATACACACACAATAATTTAGATCATATACATATTGTTAAAAAAACTACAATTAACGATTGATAGAGAATAAAAATCTGTACGTTCCTAAAAGCACTGACGAAGTTCCGCCAATTAATGTATTAATTCAATATGTGAACATTTTTACAATTCAATATACAGTACCAATCAGTTACTAATTGGCTCGGTTATTCATATTCGTGGATGAAATATATACATATGTACAGGGTATCATAGAACTATCGTTATACGATTTTTCAGTTTACAAAATTCAATGATTTGACGTTCATTACAATTTTTTTTAGCGATTCTAAACGCTATTTCTTTATTATTTTTTTTAAATATTCATCGTAAAATATCTTTTGATTTGTACTTGAATTAAATTTTAAAGCAAAATTCACAATTAAAAAATAAGAATTTACCATCTTGTTTCATTTGCAAGCATTTTAGTCACAAAAATATATAATTTTCAATTACATGAATCTATTTTAATGCCATAAATAAACGGATACGAGATTCCTCATACATTAAAAAACTTTTTTAGACTTTTATAATTCATATACGAACACACTATGATGTGTACAAAATTCAAAATACAATATTGTTTGAAGCAGGGGAGATTCGTACGTTAATGAAATCTACAGCCAACAATAATTATCAATATTGCATCACAATATACAGAAATATTAAAAATATATAAATGAAATAGAAAGGGAAAACGACGAAAAAGGAATTCGAAAGGAAGATACATAATGTTGCGATATACGATAAAGAATGCGAATCAGCCAAACAATTTCTCTTCCTATGAGTATCTCACCTGTATTTCCTGTTTTTCCCAGAAGAGCAGCTACGCACGAAAAAAAAATACGCAACGTTAAAATTGAGATGTACATTCACATAAAAGAAAATAAAGAAACGTAAAATATGCAATTGTAATATAATTTGTTATAACATATTTAGTGTGATATAAAAATAATAGAATATTTCTGCCTGCAGTTAAAATTATGTTGTATACAAATTTACATAATAGCATAAATACAAACTTGAGAGTTAAACATCAAATTAATTTCTTGAGAAAAATATTGTGCAATATGCTTTTATGTAAATTTTAATGTTATGTGTAGTATTACTATACAAGGTGTCCCACTTTAATTTATCATTTCTTTTTCATCATAGGATAAGTTCGAATTAAAAATATGTTTAGACAGAAAGTTGTGTGACTTCACGGAGCACAAATAATAGTAAAATCAATTTTCAAAAAACTCAATTTTCATGGATATAAAAGTTATTTTTTTAAATAGAATTGTATGATTTGTTTACATAATATAATATTCCAATAATTGTTCTGCATACAAAAGTATATTAAGATAGAGATATTTAAAAATCGATAGTTAACAAAATATATATTTTATATTTTATTCTGGCATATTTTGAAATAAAATATAAAATATCTCGTAAACTATTAATTTTTTGATAATCGTGTCTTAATATTTTTATGCACATAATAATTAGATAAATTATTTGGTAAAAAACATATAATTGCTTTTTATAAAAATATGCAATTTGCAATATACAACTAAAGGAAGGGAGAGAGTTATGAAATAATATTTTGTTTTATTAAAATAGTTTAATAGATTATACTCATGTGACATAATTACTTTTGTATAAGTTTTAATCATAGGGCATAGAGTGATATTAATTATACTACAAATACACAGAAGTTCTTATATACAAGTACATAAAATTCTTATGCATAAGAATAAAATAGAATACACAAACATGATTAATTATAAAAAAAATTAATAATTTATAGGATATTTTATATTTCATGTCAAAATGTGCCAGAATAAAATATAAAATATTTTGTAAAGTATTGATTTTTTTATGTCTCTATCTTTATATGCAGAATAATTAGAGAAACTTTTGTCTGAACATATTTTTTATTAGACCTAGTTTGTCATGCAAAGATAAAAGGGATGATGGATTAAAATAAGACACTCTGTATACTGTGATTTTAATTTTTCGATAATTGTATACGTTTAATTCAATTAAATTTACAAAATCAAAAACATCATAATAAGTATTTAAGATTTTATGGTAGGCTCTAAAGAAAGAAATCATTAGTAACAAATAGGTAAGAAATTATTTTAAAAATTTTGACAGAAAAATTAATTATTAAAAATATATACGTAGATTCGTTTTTAATTATCTGAAAATTTTTTATGTATCTAGTTCTTTATCGTAATTAGCTATTAATTATAGTCTCCAAATTTTAGAGTGAATATATCACTCCGAAAAGTAAAATCTCATAAAATTAAGCCACTTTTTTTAAGACTGGTTCAATTTTCACTCTTTAGAGTGAGACTTCACTCTAATGAATTTAGAGAGTAATTTTATCAAAATGATGCTTCGATATCTCGAACTCGGAATAACTTTTAAATTACGTTATAATCATACGAGTCTACCGTGAAAATTGATATGAAGATAGAAACAGAGAATATGAGGAAATTCGAGAAATGAAGGGCAAAGGGAAGGAAAGTGTAAGCACGTGCACATGCGTACATGTGCATGTACACTATTAAATAAGCGAAATGGGAAAATCAGACCATCAATGGGATTAGGGCCCCTTTTTCGTGATCGAAATTAATTTAGTAATTGTTAATACTGTACCAGGCAATACGACACGTACATAGCGACATACCTGCTGTCGAATTCGCCAGGCCGCTTAATGCTGAAACACAAAACACGTTCGCGATATTAGCAAAAGCAGAGTCGATAATATGTATATGATATGATCACGAGAAACACCCGAAGCGGAATTTTTTCGTTGATGGCGTTGATATTATATTTTTAACTGCCACTAAACAATTTGTACAGTCAACGGCTTCACTTGTATCAAATTAATGTGATGAATCAAATTGCAAGGTGAGTTGGTTACGTCTGCAAAAAATATTTATAATCTTTATCTTTTGCTACTATATATTGTAACATTATATATTACATAAGAAATTTATTATTGGAATATTTTAGATAAAATAAGCTTATAAAAATTTTGGGTACAATCGTTGTAATAAATCGTTGTAAATAAAATTGACATTTACAATTTAGAAAACACAATAAGATTTAATAATTTCTTAACAATTATATTTTCCAGCATTTTCCATATTTATTATAATTCAATGTCTGGTTAATAAATAATTAAATGTCAGTTTGTTTTATTAATTAAAAGATCTTACAGACGATTCACTTTTTTGACTATACATATGTTATAGTTAAATATAAAATTAATTATTGAAAAAAATGCAAGAAAATATACTTATAATCACATTTCTAACTTCTTATTTTGCAATATTAAGATTTACTATTTCTGTCGACCGGCCTATTTATAATAACTATTTGAAAAACTCGTTCCTGTACAAATAGTACCCTCTTTATGAGTGAAACACAATGAAGCAACCTGCATACTTGACTTACTTTGTTGTTGACTTTATATAAATCATACAAAAAGCGTCATGAGCATGCAAAATAATGAAGGTGTGTTTTTTTTATATAAGTGAGAGGTAATTACGCAATTAATTATGGAAACGTACATCTTACCTGGCTTTCTACATTTACGCAATTCAATATACATACAATACAATGATATAGATTACGAAAAATTTTGACTTACAATTTTGATTTACAATCAATTTAGTATCCTGTCTTGGTCATGTTATCATAATTCAATCACAAAAAGTGATTAATCTATTCCTTCTTAATTTAAGTTTAATCATTGAATTTGTTTAATAAATAAAAAAAATAGCCAAACTTAGATATTTTTAGAGTATAATGTAAAAATAGATAACTTTTACTATATGACAAGTTCTTCTATAAATGTGAATTGAGTTTAGTTATATATTTATTTAAAAATGTAGATACAAGTTATGTATATATGTTTAATTTTATAAATAATTTAAAAATTACTAGATTTTTTTCAACAAAATGTGCTTATATTAGTCAAATTCGTAAATTTTATTTGTTTATTTTTAATTAATGATTAAACCTGATATATGTATAATATTTTCTTTGAAATAATCAACAAACGATATATTTTAGAATAAGACAGTCAAAATATCATATTGATTTACTGATAGTACTGATGTTATTGATATTAAAATGATAATTATATAACAAGATATAATTCCGATAATATTAAAACTATTCCGACAATAATTTTATTGAAATGTCATATTAAAATACTAATTGCACCAAATTAATTAGTTAATTTGCTAAATATTATTTCGAAATTTCCTATTTTTTAAAATATAATGCAACTTATAAATGTGAAATTGAAATTAGATGTTCGTTCATAGAACATTTCTTTCTCTTGACTGATTTCTAGAACAAATTGTTTACTGTTTAATTGTAGGTAAATATTCTGAAACACCTTACTCTCATAGTACCGTCGTTATGATTAAAGGCTGTTAATACAATTTGCGAAGATACATATAGACACGCAGTTGCGTTATTACTGCCATTATAATCGCAACACGACTTCGGCCGCTTTACCATGCATACCTACAAAAGCGTGGACAGTTCACCCGTTCGCCTGGAACTTTAACAACGCATGCAATCATTAAACTCCGACTACGCTCAAGCGGATTTACTGTCTACCGCAAGTAACATACGTGACGCATAAGCATACAGGTGTTTTGTACAATTGGTAGAAGGACAATATAATGTGGCTTGAAGTTATGCATATAATTCGAAGCATCGGACAGTTCCGCACGGAACCTACAGCTGTACATTAATGTACAATAATGTGTTCTGCGATTATGCGTCTCGCAAAATATTCTCTACTCACTGTTTGGCGACACCTGGAGATTGCTGTTTCCGCCGGTCATAGCTGCCAAAGTGACAAGATTCTGCATACTCATTGGCGACACACCCGCATTTGCTACAACATAATATATCAGAACTTATCGTAGAAATCCTCAATGCTCTAGATTATATACCACGATGATGAATATAGCGTACTATTTAATAATTCATAAAATGAGCTTAAATCAAATTTTGCCTAATTTGAAATAATTTAACAGTACATAAAACAGTTTTAATTCTTCTAATGGAATTTTTTTGGCAATATTAAAAATATTAATATTTCAATTAATGTTTTAAGTATAAGCGTTTTAAATATTTACTTTATTGAATTCATACTTTAAGTTCTCTCTTCATGTATATTGAAAGTAAATTATACGTCATTCTATGCGTTTAGTTTGTGTATACGTAAACTCATTGCGTGACACTAAAATGTCATCAAATGACCGTACGTTCAGTAGCAATAAATAAATAAATACATGCAACTAATAAATATATGTCACAGTAAAGTCAATGATAAACACATATTGAGGTATGTATATCATCATCCTAACATCTTTCCCGATCCCATTAAATTAAACGAAGAATTTTTATTTTTATTATTGCCATGGTAAATTGGTGCAGGACGTTTCGTTATAACTTTCGAAAAGATATGACCCATGGGACGCGATCATACGCGGTGGAAGTTGGAGAATATAAGCGTGAAATAATATAATTTATTCTGACACTGATATGACTGACACGGACGAGTAATTTTAGTGAAGAAACGGATAAAGTTCCATTTTGCTAGTCCAAGCGAATCGATCATATTCTATGATATTTTACATCGAAATTTGATGGCTCGTAATCGAAATATTTATTGAGCAGAAATAAATTATCTCCCAAGAGGAATTATATATTTAAATTTACTCGCGCTCAAGATTTACGTTTTTAACTTGTTCGACAAAAATAGGTTTTCTATAAGTATCGGAATATTAGTATAGAGTAGGGTCAAAAGGTGACGCGACGAAGTTAAACTTACATATTAAAAAAAGGGATAAGTTTAAAGATTGCTCACGTCAGTCATACTAATATTAGAAATATGAAAGAATTGACGTAATGTGTGATATAAATGTAAATGCATTAACGACTGGATATATTTTAAGAGTATTATATAAGAGTGTATTATTTAACGAAAATCTCTTTTATTAATCATAAAAATCCATATTCGTGCAAAATATGTAAATAAGAAATGTCAGTAATACACATAAAAAGAATAAAAATTTTATCAACCTTCTTAAATATCATAATATAATATTTCACAGAATATTTTCTTGCAATCTTAAAATAAAAAAAGTAAAAGAATATGTTAATCTGTCTATACATAAATACTCACACAAACTAGCGCAAGATAATAGAGATAACTATTTATCGATTTCAATATATTTATACACACATTAATATTCACCTATAAGTCAATATAAGTTTTTAATGATCATTGGAATAACGTTAATACAATGGATAATAATTTCAATAATTTATGTTTTGAACATCATCATGTAGAGAATATTTAATCTCGTTTCAAGAGAGATTGGATTTCTACTAATCTTATCTAAATCGTCATCGAAAATTGGAAATCAAATAAGCGTAAATAAGCGAAAATAAAAAATTAATAATCGACACTAACCATACTCACCAGCAGTATTACTCAGAGACGCGAGGGTGGCTAAACTTTGCAAATTCGCAGGGTTGATTTCTGCTGGACTAGGTACAGCGGGAGGTGCTGCGTGCGCAGGTGTTGCCGCACCAAGGCCAAGGTGTTGTTGTAACAGTAACTGATGTTGTACATTCGACAGTGCATTAGCTGCTCCTGCGTTCGCTGCGACCGGAGTCGCGGCACTCGTCGTCGCCTGCAATTGTTGCAGAAGCTGCAACGATGCAGGCGCCAAAGTATGCGCATCGTTCTGTGAGTACAAACGTGAATAATAATCATTAATCACAGTCGCTGTTATATTTCATAAATTCATCGTATCTATTTAAAAATTTTTATAAATTATCTGAGAATACCCATTTTAATTCTGCCACAAAAGTCATTAATTTATTTAAATATAATTAGCACAAAAACTTTGATTTCTAAAATTTAAATGTTGTTAAACTTTTAATCAAGTTTTTCATCAAATTTCTGTTAAGAAAGAATTATCCGCAAATTTGCCAAAGGATACGTTTGTAGAACTTTATGCAAATCTCATGAAACGTTCAATAGAAACAAAGCTTTGGTACAGGTAGCCACTATATGTGTTCGAAGAATACAGATCATGTTCCTAAAAAAAAACGTCTCAGTTCTTTTTTAAAATATGTTTTGCATAACAAAATTGAGATTGCTATGTAGAAAGTCACAAAGGATAGATAATGCATACGAATGTAAGGCGCTCAAACGATAGAGCCTCGTGAAGAGTTCTCGTTCTCGATGCAAATGGAATCTTTGATATCGGCCAAATAGCTTTTATTATAAAATATTAAGTACACGTACGGTTAGGTAATGCGGTGTGATGTTGACTCCCGCGATGTTCCAGAGATTCGTCTGGAGTTGCTGCATCCTCTTCTGGTCCTTTTCCTTTTGCGTATCGGCGAATTTTACGACTAATGGTGACGAACAACCCTGAAAATTGCACGATGCGTTAATGTTGCGTAATTGTAAACAATATATAAAATATAAGAAATGTAAACAACGTTGATTAATGTCGTAATTAAGATTTGACAAAACAAAAATTATGAACAAAAAATATAATGTATGCACACACAGTAATAAATATTTAAACTATATAGAATTATTTAATAGACTGTTATAATTTTTTTTTAAAACGTTTTTCATTGAATAATCTATATCATGATCTATAAAAAAAATTTTTTAAATCTTGTGTTATTATCAATTCAATCTTAAAAGAATTATAAAAATTTATAAAAATAAATCTTACCGTGTCATAACACCAATTAAATATCTCAATCAATAATATGACTGATAAAATGATCATGAATTGAAAGAAAATGAATAAATAATTATTTTTCCCCATTTAATTTCTGTTAAAACTCTAAGAAATATTCATATCTTAAAACTGCATTAATATTTTAGTGATAATGTCTTGCTTTTTGTCAATCCAAATTCTTGAACAAGCTTTTGCTATAATTTGACATTCTTTTCGTTAGCTCAGAACATTAATCGTATTTCGTACCGAGCATCGTTTTACACCTGAATCCGGCGTACATTATTGGTTCAAGTCCAAGTTCAACATTGGCGTGGGAACGGGATTTGCCGGCGATCGAGTATTACGTTGGTGGAAAGAGAAACTCATTCGACGGTACGCGAGACGATATACACACGAATCGCGAGGTCGATGCACTATGTACAATGCGCCTGCAATTGGAGACGCGAAATCGGCGTGCCGGTTGTGCCGGTAGTGACGAATGAGCAAGTTCGAAGAACCTACAGCCGGAAATATTCGTGATATTAAAGTGGAATTGCCTTCGTGCCCGTATGTCTTGGCACACACGCGTTTACCATTCGAAATAGTACATTGCAAAGGCGTATCGTAGCTAAATATATCTCGTGAAGTGATTAATGAAGTTGTTAAGTATTTAAATGAGTATTTCTTATATTAATGAAATAAAACTATGTATCTAACAATTGAATACCGCGAGGCTGCATCAAAGGAAATATCTTGATATTAATTAGATATTTGAATATTTAATATTATATAAACAGATAAACGAAAAAACTTTATATTTCACTTTAAATTAAATAATATAATTAAGATCAAATACATAATATTTAAGAAAGTATCAGTTATACCTAGAAAAAATATTTATAAATTTTTTTGGAAATCGCAAATCAATACAGAATCCATTATTTCCTTGTGAAAATTTTTGTAGAGACTATAGCAAAAGGATAGAATATTCGTTTTAACATATAATTTAATTGCTATATTTTTAACATATAAATAGATAATATCGCAATATAATATTGATAAGTTTTACGATTTTCGAGCGGTACTCTCTATGGAGATTCGGTAATTTACCTGTCCATAATTCTCTCTTTCTCTCTCTCTCTCTCTCTCTCTCTCTCTCTCTCTCTCTCTCTCTCTCTCTACATTTGCGAAAGCTTAAATAGCTGTGGTAGTATGGAGCAATGAAAGAAGGGGGAATAGAAAAGCTTGGCGAGCTTTGAATCGTCAAAGTGTCGACCAGTTCGGCCGTCTTTACTCTCTCGCTCGGTTTTAGTTACCCCGAGTTAAATCGGTATATTTCACTGAGGTGACTACTCGGATTGTAAATGCACACATGGATGTTTCGTCGAGTGACAATGGCATCGAGCCAATACATCCGACGACTCGGTTGAATTGCCATGAAAAGAAACGATCTACGAAGACTTTGTGTGCGACCCGCTTTGTGTCGTCATCTGTCAGTCTTCCCGACACTGTTTTCTCCGCTTAAAAGATCGGAGTCCTCACGACCCAGTTCTTTCTTGCAACATAAATATGAGAGCAGATTGCATGTCCTCATTGGCTCATTATTTTCACAAGCAACTTTTCAAAGAAGTTTTCATTATTATCTTTTAGTTAGTTGTAGAAAACGTAGATGCATAAAAGTCAATGGAAGAATAAAAGATGAAATTATCATTGGATGATAAATTAATGAATGATACACGATTAAAGAAGTAAATAAATGAATAAAATATGTCATATTTTTATAAAAGCTGCATCATCCCTGTACGAAAAGTTGCCACTGTATTCTCAATTTATTATTAGAGATAGAATATTAGATGACGATATTGCGATTATTAATCAAGATGCTATAGCAAAGCTGTTAAAGTTGTAGTAAACTATCTAATAATTTGTACACTAGTTACCATGCTTTACGCATAAAACTTAGAACTTCCTGATATCAAGATTAATTTCTATACTTTGACACACAGATTAAATTACATTAATTATATAAAATCCTTAATTTTTTATTCTTCAAAATTAGGAATATTAACTAATTACAAAATTAACAACTCCAATTATTTTAAAATTAATAACTAAGCTCACGATTTTATTTAACTTTCAAGTATAAGGTCGTATCTAAAAATATTATATACAATAAAATATATATACATAGGTCGTCTGGAAAGTTTTGAGCCTCAACATGAAGATGGCATTACTCGTCAAAACAATTTTGGTACTATAATCGTACATTGTACATACTTTAAAAGATACCTGCGAAAATTGTAGCTACTTCCGGCGCTTAGTTGTTGTTTGACAGTCATTTGTGCCAGTCAATGTCAATGTTTTTATAAAAATGGAAAAAATCGAATATCAGCAGTCGCCATGATAAAAATTCACGAATTGCGGTTCGAATTAATTGACCATCCAGGTATTCACCAGATCTGGCCCCCACCGACTTTTTTCTGTTTCCTAGGCTCAAAGTTTGGCTTGGAGGACAAAAATTTTCATCAAACGAGGTCATCGCATCCGTAGACGCCTATTTTGCAAAGCAAGACGCTCAGTATTATTTGGATGGATTAAAGGGGTGGGAGCATCGCTGGAAAAAATGTATCGACTTAAAGAGAGACTATGTGGAAAAATAAAATTGAATTTGACCGAAAAATTACTTGTTTCTATGTTAGGCTTAAAACTTTTCAGACGACCCTCGTAAATGTTTCCTTTATCGTGTTTATAATTGTACTCACCTCCATTGTCTGGGAATGATGCAGAGCTTTGATGGCATTGATCGCGTACTGCTTACTAGCGAAGGTAACGAAGGCACAGGCTTTACTTTTCCCGGTGCTGTCCCTCAGCACCGAGCATTCCTCGATCATTCCGTAAGCGCTAAACATGTTCCTAACATCGTTTTCTGTGAATTTTTTCGATAGCATCCCAACGAACAGTTTGCGTTCTGTAATGATAAAACATAATTTTCATTAGCAATTGTTTGCACAGTGTCGCGTCATCATAGAATCATCATGAAAAATGAATAAGCGTATTTCGTTAGTAATATGTACGATCTTAATAATTCAATAATAGCACCCGGAAGACAATCGCCTTAGATAATATGTGATTATTCATCCTTGATATGATTATGTACTTAATTAGTTAGTGAGAAAACGTTTGGTTGAGTAATCATACAATCGAATGATTAAAATAGCTACAGTCAATTGTCATTAACAGAATGTATACTATTACAGAATACTATTACTGGGAAATTACGTAGTAGATAAATTAAGTGCATGACTCATTCTTATTGCGCTTCTTATAACTAGATAGTTCAATTAACTGATATTTTTCTATAATTATATGTACTATATATACCTTAAATTATCGAAGATAATTTAAAGATATAATCTTCCCTATTTTTCTTCTTTCTACTTTTTATGTTTATCATGACTATAATAGTCAGGATCATTATTGATTATTTCACAAGTAGCATCAGCACTTTACATGTGCCATTATGGTAATAGAGTTTGCATAACATCAAAAGAATTAGAATATTAAACATGAAAAAAATTCTTTTACCAAGCGTTACGTAAAACTAACTATTTTCCTATTCTTTATACCAAGTTCTGGTTATCTAAACTTGTTAGCGAACTCATTAAAACTTTTATAAATGACATTCATAACCAATTATCATTCATGACATATTCTATGTCATGAATGAAGGAAGGATTAATATTCTGCAGATTAAAGGTTAACAATTACTATCTAATATTCTCGGTTGCGAGTAGTATCATCGATTAATTGAAAAAAAAAACCTGAGTGTTTTATTCGATATTACGTTCTTAAACTTTGACTCACGTCGTCTCGAGCCGAGGTTACAAGTGACATCATGATTTCCCATCTCGCCCACCGTTTAATAAGCGTTTACGGATAATGCGGACAGTGGCTAGCTATGGGCCATTTCACGGTACAGACCAATGGAAGAGGCGACCTGGTCAATATTTGTTTAGGACCGGGAGAAAAGCTTCACCTAGAGAAAAGCCGCTTATGTAAATTCGGCATCGCGGGGGATAGGCTAGGCAAAATACTCGAATATATCTCTCGAGTCTATCCTCGCTTCTCTCATCCCTGTCACGCGTATTCAATTCTCTTATGGATCTTCTCGGTGTTAATACATCGCTTATTCTGCGAGAACGTGGTGTGCATTAAAAAAATCAAAATAATAAAATTTTGCGTTGAAATTATGACGTATTATACACAATGCAAGTTTTTTTTTATTTTTTATCTCAGGTGATGCAGGATACAAATTTTTTTATCTTGTTATTAAAAAGTTTGATTCTCAAAACTATAAATTAATGAAGTTGTACGCTTTAATTAATAATTTGTATGTATACATATATACAAATAAGTTTTAGGAATCAACATTTGCTCAGTAATTATAAAATCCATGTGATAATAACGTTTCGTTTTGTGGAATCTATAGTATATATGAATTTTTTTGCTACAAAGATTAAACCTGGCTCTGTATTATCATTTCTGAGTATTCACTTTTGCATAAATGCTGCGTGTATTAGATATGCAACAGTGACTCGCATCATATTAATTAATATTTCAGTGCCCTAATAATGTGGACTAATGTATTAATATTAATATCGAACTATGCAAATTCGCCGGCCAACAAGAGAGCTAAACACGACGAGCATTAATATGTGAAAATTGTGGCTCGCTGTCAAATGTTGCTATCCAATTCGCGCGATATCAAAGGAACTCGATGCTGCGTTTCAAACTATGCGTAGCCATAGAGCGAATTGAAATCGAGAATACATCGATTTATAGTGCGTGGAATGTATCCATGGAAGTTGATATCAAATTCACGGTACAATTGCGTATGATCGTGTTTCCGGAAATCACCAATACGCTTTATGTGCAAATAATTACGGCCCATAATGCTGACAAATAATGCCATGACTGCATTTTGTAATGCTTACTGTATAATGAAATATAAGAGATATTAATAATATAAAATGTACTGTTTTGAAATTCGTTATTTATTTAAACAATATTAATAAGAATAACAATTTATTTTTATAATAAAGACTTGTACTAATAAATTATATAAATTTTATATATAATATAAAATATATTGCCTTGTGAAATTCGTTATTACATTTAAATAATGATAGTATTATTAGTTTAATATATAATCTTTTATAATATAGTCTCTCTCTCTTCTCTCTTTTATAACAAACTTTTTTATTAATAAAGTTATAACGTTATAGGCCTTACATGCCAATTATTTCCGATTATTTTTATGGTATGTTATAGAAATGATACTGACACGGCGATACCAATTTTAGAGCAATTGTAAATTCTGAAACAAAGCCTTTTGCTTGAAAAATTTGATTCCTGCATCAATTCAATCTATCCGGATAAAAACTTCCTCTTTGCGTTTAACGAAACGTATTTAAGGGGTTGTGTCTGACCGAAACGTCCGAAAAATAACAAAAAAAAAAAATACTGAGACCAGGGGATCAAGGTTTGCCCAGAGGTTGATCCGTGCCGCGGGGAAGAGCAGAAAGGATGAGAAGAGCGCAGAATATATCGGTCCAGACTACAGCAAACTCGTCCGCAGTTAACGATTTAATTAATTTCGCAGCCCCTAGCGACTGGATACCCGCGGTTGCCAACGACGGATCGGATTTCCCGCGGAAATCGAATGAAAATTTTAAGCCCTTTCCCTTCGTGGGGGAAATACGGTGTAAAAAGGCAACCAGCTGGAGAGGGGAGGGAGGGGGCGGAAGACAAATTCTCCTCTCTTCTTCACCCCTCCTGCGTTCCAGCGAAACTGCGGCTTTCGCGGAATGTTTATTAAATACCGAAGGTGCTGGTTTATACCCTCCCCTTTTCCTTCTAAACGGACCTAAATTTTTCGCCCATTGCTACCAAGAGGACGGATATTATCCGTGTGCGAAAGTCAGCGTAACGAATATTTCGAGATCGATCAAGAGTGAAGTCGTGGTCAGATACGAAATAAAGACGAGACATCCGAAACTGTTGGTATCGTCGATTTAATTCACATATAAAAATAATAGGTGTGATTTTTTAACAAAAAAGAGAAACTTATACATATTATTGATCAAGTAGATTGTAGGAGAAAAGTTTTAACAATTAGTGAAGGAAAAAACGAAAAACGAAAAAAAAAGAAAGAAAATATAAGTTAATCATCTTGCCAAAATTGAGATAGAATCAATTAATTCCGTCGTTCATAATTTCGTACTTCTAAATGTTAATAAGTCAATTTTCGTATAATAAAAACATGAAATAGTCACCGTAAATTTGGATTTCTATTTCTCACAGTCAATCGCAATAGAATTTGTTTTAAAATGTATCAGTATCTTTAGAATTCTCGGAGTCAGAACCTTATTAATTATATCGAAACTTTAAAAATAGAGTGCTAATTTCATAGAAGTTCTATATACGTATATGCGAAATACGTGCAATATCTATACAATATATCTATAACAATACGAGTATGGCTAATTCTAGATAATGCCTCTACTACTGTGCCGTCGGGATACTGTCGAGCTTATTGTAATCACATTTAAGGCTATTAACGTGGGAATAAAATAAGAGCGCGATACCAAGCCACTGGTCTCTGTAACTGCATTTGTAATGTAATTCACGTGCAAACTAGATACGACGCAACGTCGGATCATGCAGGCGGATATGAGATGCAGATCGCGCCTGCTGGAATGTTTGCATCGCACCGAATATTCCGTTAGGATGTCTGCGGCACGTCGTCGCGGAATACGTGCATCAAAGTATTGCGCATAGTCTATCGATCGAGCTTTATAAGATCTGCATAATAAACGAACACAATAATATAGAAGTCATTATAAATTACAAGTACTATGCAGCTTTTCATGCTAGCACAAAATGGTTTGCACAATTGTTCGATTATTAGTTAGAATTCGAAAGATATGTAATTTACACACTTTTTTTATGTAAAAAGCAATCCACAGAGAGAACATAAATTAACAGTAATATTACGTTAGTGTTACAATTTCCTGTTTAACGATGTAATTGTTATATACAATATGTGTTATATTACATTTACATTGTTGAGTGAGAAGTTATAATATTGATATAATTACTATTAGTTTGTTTTCCACAGGAACTGTGGAATAATGCACTATTCAATTATCAGCTCTAAATTCACCTTACCCTAAAATGTTAATAAAATTTAAAATAATTAAATAAATTTTTTTATATTTATACCGTTTGTACAAGATAATTTTTCAAGTGTTGAGTAAAATTTACAACATATTTATAATGTGTGATAAGAATATCATAGATATAGATTATATCAAATAATCTTTGTCGTTATCAAAGTCAACATCGGAGAATTATTGCTAACATAATTTGTTTTTACTAGCTTCATGTGATGAAAAGCAATTTGTTTACATTCCGTAAGATTAGTCAGTGTTAATGATAATTTACTCGTATCCGCGAGGAAGTTCGATACAAACAGGTGTCTGACTTCCACAAACGAAATGCTTGTGGCCAACCGATGGCCAACGCGGTCGCTTGTGTTCGATTTCCTTCTATGCATCTCACGGGCCCATTCACAACTTGTACAATTAAATCGCAGCCTGCGAAACGTGATAAGTTTTCCAACGAATATCCGAGCCAGACATTTCAAATCGATCGTCGTGCTCCGATATGCAACTAGCAACCTTCCACGCCATCGTTTCTTACTCGATTTCGCCTTTTTCGCGGCACGATGCGCCGAAGCGCGAGACGTTGCGAATGAACCAACGCTCTTACAGGCCGGAAAAAAAGACCAACGTGAGATTAGGATCATGCATGCAAATGCGGACAAGCGAGAGAGTATTGGAATTTCGTGTTGAAAGACGTTTCGATGTGCCTTTTCCGAAATGCGGCAGAAGAACGAGTTTCTGC